GACGTGACATGTTCGTACGAACCCTTTGTACGAACAAAAGTAAGAGAAATTTAGGAGAAGAATACAAACATGTTCTTGCATGAGGCCCATTATTCTTACACAATCAGTTCTTGTTTAGTAAATCAGTCTCAAAACAAGATCAAAAAGATGTTTTTGGCTGATATAAGATTTTAAAACTTGGTTAGGTGGACTGTTTTTGCAGTGTACGATTCAGGTCACTTTGTTTTTCCATCTGCATTTGACTTCTGTTTTATTGACGAAAACACGATGTAATATTTCCTTGACAACAATGAAAACAAAGAATAAACAAACACAAATATGAACATTTAAACTTTTCAAAAGTTTCTAAACATTTCCAATTTATATCTTACTAATACCAGTTATGAAGTGGAATCGTGGACCTTAAACTGTCATTTCTACTTTCACTATTAATGCGATTTAAATATTTTTAAGAACGTTATTGTGAGCAGGAGAAAAACTAATATTGAAATCCAAGATGTGAACAGAGATTAGAGTGYTATATGATTATAGAGTTAAAAAAAAAACAGCCTGCCGTACTTTGTGCCAACTGGAGCAAGCAAACAGGCAGAGTTGAGGCCACACATGACACATCATTGTTTGCTCACGTTGATACGCATGAGTGCATTTGTCTCACCGTGCTCTCAACTTGATGGCACAAAAATGAGAAAGCAGCTCTCGTCCTGTTAAAAATGCAGTTTAAAGTGATTTTGTTCACCAAGGTTGAAATTATGTCGATTGATGTAAACATCACCTATAAAAGATGCCAGATTTGTCTTTGAGACTTTATCCCCACACAAACTATGTAGTAATTGTAGCATTGTTCTGTTGTTTTTCTTTCCTTTTGTTGCCAGACTTAAGAGATAAAAAAAAAACTAATTATCTGTGAAAATAACCTAAAGCTACCTTGCTTGAACTCACAAAGACAAAATGTGTCATGTCTCCCGCCCATCAGCTCTGACAGGTGGTCAGTGCTGATGGATTAGTCAGGGTCCGCCCGAGGCCACCTGACAGACACCTGTCTGTGTTTAGCAGCAGTCATCAAACTCTTGCTCACTAAACTGCATTTGCATGATAATTCCTCATCTGATCTTTTCAGCCGACAATTCTGAGGAAACCGAAGGAGGTACGTTTTCACCACAAATAGACATTTTTTTTTTATTTTCATTTATTTTGTTTACTTTAGTGTAAACCTTTGCTTTGTCTTATTTTACACACACAGATGAGGCAAAGCCTAAGCAAAAGTAAGACCAGAGTTTGAAAATATATGATTTGTCCAGAGAGGTACATTTGGGTTTAAATCCTTATGTTCCCTTTTTATTTTTATTTTTATTTTTTCTCCAGGCCTGGTTTCGTTCCTGGCTTGGTGCCTCCTAAGATCCCAGATGGAGAGAAAGTCGACTTTGATGTGAGTTTATCCCAGGACTGCTCAAGTCTGCGCCTGCTGTGGGGTGCTGTTTGTAACGTTACACGGTAAAAAATTAACACCAATATTTTGTTTTATTTAGCCTTTTATAAGAAAAAAAGAACAGATTTATTTTCCAAAGCCAGTTTTTCACCACATGATTCATACATTTATAAATGTCATAGTTT